TTCATCGAGTACTTAGGTGTATTAAATTAATAACATTTCAGACATTGTTATAAATATTTTTATCTATTTCGATTTTAAAAATGTTCGAACCGTTTTAAATTCGAATTTGTTATTGCATATTGGTTCGATTATAGAACGATTGTAAACGTTCCAGAAAATTGATCAAATTGAAAACAGTTCGTTTGATTCTCGGCAATTCTCATCATTCTCAGCGGTAGGTGTTATATAACAATTACTATGGTTGTTGAAATACTGAATATAAATGGGTTTGCTTGCAAAATCCTCGCGGGCAACAGCTAGTAATAGTATATGCGCCAAATTATTTCATTACGTATTAAATAACCGAGATGATTTTTTTAAACAAACACGAGATTGTGTTACGGTTCTCTCATTTCAGAAAATGCGCGGGCAAAAAACCGCGGATCGGATGGATTGGTACTCTACGACATCTCGGATGTCAAGGCATAACACATGGATCAGTAGTAAATTAATGGAATCGGAGTTGCTTTCCGGGAGGATCTGTGGAAAACTAACCTTATCTAGGAGTTAAACACCTTAATATGGGCTAGTTTCTCATAGAAAACGCGAAACTACGCGACCAGTTTATTAGTTGTTGTTTGTTAAGTTATGGCAACCAACACTTGGCCGATCTGCCTAGGGGGATTCAACCTATTAAGGAAAACTGGCCCCTATTTAGGCGTTACAGACATGGATAATACACGGAAAACTCCACGTGGCCAGCCCGTCGGAGCGAGGCGCGAACCCACGACCGAATCCCAGTGTTCCAGGGTATGAATACCGCTTGTCCACTGGTGGGCTCCCATCAGTTCATTGGTAAGGCATGAACCCGCCATCGACTATCAATATTCAATGATGTAATCCGATGGACCTTAGCAACCAGTAACAGTGTACTTTCCAAACGAGATGTTCCCGATGTCTTTCTCTTCACTAAAACGTCCATGGAGACTAGAGGGCGCATATAATTAGCGTGTGTAGTGACTTGGTGACGCACAGAAAAAAGCCACAAGAGCTTCCAACACATTTATTTGTAAGTGATGAACCTGCTTCTAAAAACATAAATACAGTACTAAAAATAAATAAATCATCGAAAGAAAATGTTCACAATACATTCAAAAATAACAATAAAATTTAATTTTACCATTAATTTATAGAAGAATAAAATGACGTCAAATATAATTATCATCATCCACGGGGAAAAAATAGAAAATTTTACGCAATATTTATAATTTAATATAATTATATCATCAATTATTGTAATTATTTTTTATTTAAATAAATAAATACGGAGTGTCCCAAAAGTTGGTTAACCATTGTAGGTACCAAATTGCCCTGTTATTCACTTTTCTACTTATACAAATTCGGTTTACCATTCGTATCAGCAAATGCACCTGAACACACAAAGAATGGTTGACTGACTTTCGGGCCACCCTTTTCTGTTCACGACATCACAACGTTAAAATTCTAAACAGTGACGTTGGTCACAAATATACACGTATATACAGGGTTATAATATATATAGATAACATAAAATATACAATAGATTGTATGGCCAAGTTATAACACAAAGAAGACGGCGCAAGCATGGCGCTGAAATCTGTTTCATTCCTGTGCATTAGCAGTACGGTAGACTTTTCTGTGGCACAAAATGCCACAGAGAAGTCCACTGTGTGGCATTTTGTGGTCTACTTCGTACTATCTACAGTAAACACCACTGTGCAACAGTCTACAGTAGATACCACACAACCGATCTTCTATAGGGGGATTTTGTGTATTAAGTGGCACGTAATCTTTACGTCGATCCGTTTCGTGGTGTTTGGTACCTGGAAAGGGCAATGGAAGGGTTGGTATTTACATAGAAGTGACTTGGGGAGCTGCCGTGACGTCGAAGTTCGGTGATGTCGAAGGTACTGACGTTTCCGGGTCTCCTGTCAAATCGTTCCTGCTCAGGTGGGCTACGATGCCGGCTCCGAAAGAATCGCCCAGAACGTTAATAGAGGTTCGAAATCTGTCTCTAAAAAACCGTTAAATTATTAAAAAGATATGCACTCGAACTCAAACTGTGGAGTCAAAACTCGTCTTTTACTTACAGAAACCAGTCCACTACGTAAATGAACGCCACGTCATCGGATGGCAAGCCCACAGCATTCAACACCATTACCATTGTCACCAGACCAGCCTGTGGTATACCGGCTGCCCCAATACTCGCAGCTGTCGCAGTTATGCTAAAAAAAAGGACACAATAATTCGTTAGTTATTCCTCTCCGACAAAGTATCAGGTGTCCTCGACGTACTGTACGTTTTCATCACCTGATTGCCACAATCTTCCCCGCATCGAGGGACACATTTCGAATCTGAGCGATAAAGATCGCTGCCACGGCTTCGTACAGTGCCGTGCCATCCATATTGATGGTGGCTCCTATGGGCAGGCAGAATCTGGAAACTTTGGGATCTACCTGGTTCTTGTCTTCTAGACAGGCGATGGTGACTGGAAGTGTAGCCGAACTGTTAAACAAAGGGCAAATTAAGCATATCCACTCTCCGAAGATTAATGGTAATTTTGTTGTGTTTCGTACCTGGAAGAGGTGCCAAATGCTGTAGTGATGGCTTGCAGCATACGATACATGAATGTAAACGGTTGTTTCCGCACGATCACGAAGTATATCAATGGTAAAGTGATCAGTCCGTGTACGAATAACCCTACTAAAACGGTTGCCGTATAAAGTCCTAACTGACCTGCCACCACGGACAAGTCATCCATTTCGACGATTTTCCCGGTGACGAGGAATAAAACGCCAACAGGAGATAGCCTGAAAAGTTAAATTCACCTCTTTAAATCATTATAACGGCATTAACCTGTATAAAACGAAAGAAATTCGGCAGTAAGAAGTGCCGACAACGTCCACTCATCTCCTCTTTGTGTCCTACATTCTTGATTGTGAAACAATTTATAAAAAAGGAAAATGTTTCGAAACAAATCATCTCTTATGCCATCTATTGTTTCTCATGTACTGTACGTATCAAAATACAACAATTGTGTCTATACTTCAATTGTGGGTTCTTGTTTATCTTTCATGAAATCATAAAATCGATAATCACATTATGTTATTTAATCTTTAAAAATAAACCTGTGACCTATTAATGAAAGGATTATTGCTTCCAGTGTTTCAAACGAAAAGTTAAATTTCGAAACTGGCCGCACGAATTACAATGCCCTACAAATTGGCACTAAATTCTCTGTTTCTGAGACAATACGTGTATATGATTGGGTTTAATAAACCCATGCAAAACTGATTTCCTTTCGTGCTTTGCGACTAAGCAGTGAAACAAAACACAAATGTACAGGGAGTGCCAAAACACAAATGTACAGGGAGAATGTAACACGTGACCGTGTTACGAATGTGTGGGAATGTACCATGGTATTGATACATATGTATCATGGTACATTCCCACACATTCGTAACACGTGACACATGGCACTCTCAACACATTCGTGTGTCTGCTAATGTAACTCGAGACTAAGTACCTTGGAAGGAGGATCATATTCCAGTATGATCCTCCTTCTAAGGTACTTAGTCTCGAGTTACATCAACAGAAACACGAATGTGTTGGGCCCCGTCTCTCACCACCCGGCAGATCCATTGTGGGCCTGGCCGAACCCATAAGGCTTGCAAAAAGAGGCCGTCTTAGTGCCCACAGGGCGGAAAGATAAAAAAAAAAAACTAGAAAGCCTTATGAGAGAGAATTAATGATGAGAAAACCTAGGATTTTTTGTTAACGGAATGCCTCCAAGATAGATATAATGTTTTCAGATAATTCTAGAAGAAACGGTCAGGAGCAACTCGCAATTCTTGCAAACTGATTGGCACATTACCAATTACTCTACCTGGACCACTTTCCAATTGCCTAGACGTGAAAATCGAAGTTTCCATAAGCATAACTTACAACATGTTCATTCACTTAGGGCTCGAACTCATTACTCTCTCAACCTACGTTAAACTTTCATAAGGGTGCTTTGGAATAATTTATAATCGATGAGCCGCGATAAAGACCGATAAAGGGTTGCAAGAGATCTAAGCCACAACTTGTAACTCCTGTTTTTATAATTAATTCTATTATTCGTTCACAAACAGAAAACTTTCAGATTTCAAAGTACGGAGAATTCTACACTGAATACTAACATCGAAGAGCAGAAAATCACTTGTGTAATCCTTAAAGAAGCTCAAATTTCACGTGTTTGTCCAGTCCCAACGTTAATTTTATAATAGATAAATTACAATGAAACAAATCAATGTATGTAAACGAACATCTGTTCTACAGAATAGGCAATTGTTTATTCCATTGTTTATGGTAGTTGTAGTGTGAATTTGTTCTTGTTTACTCATTGCTTATCACTTCAGCTCTGAACTCTATAAAACCGGAAACTTTAATTAAACTTTTAACCCCATAAATGTGAAGTCCCGGTATGGAGACATCAAGAACGTCGAAGACGCTCAAGTCTAGAAAGTTAAACAAGTAAATATTTACCAAATCACCCATTTAGTAATCATCATCATCGCATCACCCAACGAAGAGAAGAACATCAAAACGGGTTTTCCACTTTCTTTCATCTGGCCCAGTGTTATTCCTAACACAATAGAAAACACCACGATACCCAATATGTTCGTTCCAGGCGTAACTTTTTGATCTATCGCCCACGAATAATAGTCTGAAAATGTAAATTACGATGAGTGACGAATAGAAAAAAACAATAGAAAACAATCCCCCACTTACCTGTATCATTAATTGAAGCGTTCTTTGGTCTGGTAAGGCTCGTCGAAGTCTGAAAATGGAAGACACTTTTTACATCAGAATTTAAGAGAAATTTAAAATTAAAAAAAAAAAATTGAAGGGCAATTTACTTGGGAAATACAAGCTTCCATCAGATTAGGGGGGAACATGTTCCTGAAAAATAAGAAATAAACAGCATCATTAGAACACTTGGAATTTTGCAAGTCGTCATATTTGATTGGAGGATTGCAAAACGGGAATTTTTAGAAATGTTTCGATAACAATATGACTAAACAAATTTATTGTGGGATTGTTTATTTAAAATGCAATTGTTTAATTGCAATTTCTAACTGAAGCAAAATCCATTCAATCCTTCTTCTGTAGTTCTAGCAATTTGGAAATTACTATACATAGAACTAGAAAAGAGAAATTTGTTTACATGTAAACAATATAAAATATTCTAATTTTCAATTAAAATGCGATTTTTTACTTTTCTTCCATCTAAAAAAAGTTAACTTTTTATTTTGTCGTCCTTCAACCTTTTCATTTCGAAGAGTATGATGCTTTCAGACGTAAAAGATTTTTGTGGCAAATTTAAATGGAAGAGCAGGAGGACGCATAATGAGCTTTCCACCCACAGCAAGAAGAGCAGTAAGAATAGATTGACCAGGAAAAAGTGCGACCTCTATCCAAAACAGAAATAGGAGGAGGAATATGCGCTCTTCCATCCAAATTCTTGAAATTGCTACTTTAATCGCAAATTTAAAAGCAAGAAAATAGCCAACAAAACGTGCACCCTTCCATTTCTAAATACAGTTTTATGCATTTGGTGCATAAAATTCCATTTTCCCTTCATTCCAGCGAGATTCTAACATAAATCCTACTTAAACTCACCTGACAAGATCCATTAGTGTATCTGCCGTGGTAGTAGGTCTAGTCTCCACTTCTTTGATTCCTGTACCATTGACGGTTCCTCCTTTTCCCGGCCGTATAATAACGACCAGGACTATCCCCAAAATTATGGCCAGTACTGTGGTGGCCAGGTAGTAAACCACTGCTCTGGCACCTATCTTCCCGGACAGTTTGGTATCCAGAGAGCCTATAGCGGATATGAGGCTGGACACTATCAGGGGGAGGATCAGGCATTTCAGCATCCGGAGGAATAGCTCTCCAGGGAAGCTGATGTACATGACGTTCCTCTCGTTCCATACCCGAAATTCTCTAAGACCTATACCTAATCCTATTCCTACTACAACGGACAGGAACATCAGCAGGGTCAGAAGATTCTGACGGAGGAAGGTCTTCCACTTTTGGTTCCTGGGGGTGTTATCCCCCATTCCAGTGTCCTTTTCCATGATGGGAAACTTCCCGTTCAATTTGTTCGTCATCCCTAAAAATAGCAACTGTTTTAATTAAACTGCCAGAAAACAAAACCCCCGTGTTTTGTAACTTTAAACGAAGCTTTAGCTGTTTAAAATAATGGAAGTTGTATGATTTCATGTAGTGGTTTCCGAGAGGCACGTGGCACGACAGCTGCGTAAACACCAGCCAAACGACAGTAAAATACGTAGCGAAGCAGTAATTCTGATCGTTAATTTGGAGGTAGGAAGACTATTCGTCACCCTCCGGCACACCTGTCTGACCTAGAAAGTTCTGTGACTCCGCGTAACCGCCACCAACAGGTTATAAGGTTACAATTTTTACTTCCTTCGCAGTTGAAAATGGTGCAGTTCGACTCCCAAAACGTCACAGATTACGTCATTGTCTACATTACTAAACCCATTTTACCTGTCTAAACTGCAAGATCCTATCACAACTCCCTTCATGCACACCATACATACCCAACGTTTCTCGGCATGGCAGGTTAGGCAGGAGTTAAAAGTGTAAAATTTAGTGTTTCATCTATCAACCCCTTTCGTCATTATCAGCAATACTAAACCTATTTCTATCTGTCTAAACTGCAAAGTTCTTGGACCCTACTACAACTTTCCTCACAGTATTATGCATACCTTAAGTTCCTCTGTATGGCAGGTTAAGGTATCAAGGAAATGGCACCAAATTTAGCGTTAAAAATACAAAAATTTGACTCCCGAAACGTCATAGCATTTTATCACCCCTTTCGTCACTGTCTGAAATATAAAACTGAAAAATGCTTTATCTATAGGCGCAGCATGACTTATCACCCACCTGTTACTGTAGTTTCGCTACTGAATTATCAGTGTTCTAGGAAAACAAATGAAAGACAAACCCTTATAATTTGATAATTGCAGCAGCTATTTCTTTATCTATCCACCTATTAAAAATCGAGTTTTATTACTAAATTCCTTTGTTAAAAGCAGCAATTTGATCCTGTAAAATGATACAACGTTAAAAGTACAAAAAAGTCTACCTCCAATTACTTTGATGAGTAAGTCAGTATGTCTGTCCACTTAAAAAACGCTAAACAGAGTTAATTTACGAGGACGAAATCGCTTATAAAAAAAGTAAGCACTAGCATTTATCATTGTAAAAAACACAAGAAATTAGCTCTTTTTTTAATAATTTTTCACACTTTTTATCACATGTTTCGGCGTATCCGCTTCATATCTCTACTGAAAAAACATAGCAAATTACAACCATTATTAAAAGTATTGTGAAATATCCGTTTCGGTATCATAAACACAACCTTGTACTATTGTACAGAATGGTGAGGTGGAATGTAAAACAGTAGAAACGTCACACAACTTCCATTCAACCCCATTTATAGCGTTAAACTGCACATAAAACGAACCCCGTCTGGCGTTCAAACGACCCAAACAGATAAATTTGGTGTCTGTAAACACCCGAGGGGGTCACTCGAACGAATTCGGGGGTTTTAAGTACTTGACTAAGTTGAAAATGTAAAAAACAACCGCAATTAAAATCACACTGCACTCACCTGTTTAGTCTCTCGGATAACACTTGGAAAAAATCCTCTTCCCGGCCGAATTGAAGTTATTACCATCCACGTGATGCCGGACAACCAATCGGGAGTGGCGTTACGTACTTTATCCGTAGATTGGTCGGAAGATTGTGGAAGGAAACGGAAGTGCGAGTGTTACGTCGAACGGAAGCGGGAATTCTACGTGAACTTTCTTGGATTCGGGAGTGAGATTGCGTCAAAAAACGCCTTCCCCGTACAATCTGTTAGTAAATTTCGGTGTTTTTTTTTTAGTGTGTCGACACTGGCTGACACAGTTTTCATACCCCAAGTTGCCACACTAAAGACCTGGTTTGTATTGGTACGTTGACACCATTTCCGTGTTGTTTTTTTTTTAGAATTGTATCAGTAACAAAGAAATTTTCAATAAATTACACTAAGAACTGCATTTTTTGAAAAATATTACGTCACAGAAACGGTTTTTAGTAAGAGCCAATCAACGTCTTTCTTTTAAATTCAAAAAACGAACGGTACAGTCGAGGTAACGTCAAACACGGGAATAAACAAACTTCAATTGTTAAGTCACCGTTTCTTTCAAAGCGCCATCTGATTAAACACGAAGTTTCGTGTCTTTTTTGATACAAAGTTAAAATTTAATTTCTTGCACGTTCAAGTGTAAGATTCTGACGTCACAATATTAACTTTCCCGAATTGATAATGGAAATGTAGTTGCTTCTACACCTAATAAATCATCTAAAATCGGGATTTTTGCTGTATGAACGTCAAAATACGGCATAAAAACAACCAAAATGACTTTTTTACCTGTCTGTTATCTAAAAAAATCAACTAAAAGTATTGTTTTGATTGCTTAATCAACTAAAAAAAACCCAGTTGTAAGCATCTGGGTTTTTTTCACTCTTTCGGCTGCTTAAATGTCTAAAATACCATCTAAAAAACGGCTTTTTAGTTGCTTAAACGTGTAAAAATTCATTAACAGCCACAATTTTACTGCTTAAATGTGTAAGATCTAAAAAAGCAGTATTTTTGCTGCTTAATCGTCTAAAAAAAATCACCCGAAAGCATGTAAAAATCTCTTTTGAATGTTTAAATATCTAAAAATGAAATTTTTAGATGTTCGAGATAATTTTTTACACGATTAAGCAGTCAAAAATTCTGCTTTACACACGCTTCTTAACACATTTAAGCAGTAAAATTCTGTTAGATGTTTAAGCAACTAAAAAAAAAGCTCTTTTCTGATGACTTTAAGGCAATTATTAAGATTTTTTAAAGCTTTCAGATGATTTTTCAGACGATTAAAGCCTTTTTTTAAAATAATGCTTAAGTGGTTTTAGATAATTTTTTTAGACGTTTTAAACCGTCAAAATAGTAGTTTTTAAGACTTTTATTAAGCATTTTAAGCAGTAAAATAACCGTTTTCAATGAGATTTTAGACGTTTACGCAACTAAAAAAACTATTTTTTAGACAATTAAGCAGCCAAAAGGAAGATCTTTAAATGCTTTCAGATGATTCTTTAGATAATTAAGCAGCCAAAAATCATCTAAAACTGTTATTTTACTCGCTTAAACGTCTAAAAACACAATTTATAATGTTTAAAACATCAATTTGTTCTTAAGCACCTCGTCATTGTGTCATTTTGTGTCAAAAAATTCGGCTTTGACGCGTAATTTTCTTTGAACGGTTTGTTTATTCGACTTCAAATGAAATTCCTGTTGCAGCAATTTCAGAGAATTAAGAAAAATTTCTGCTTAATAAGCAATTTTGGAGATTCCCGTCTACGGAATTAATCTCTTGCGTCACTAATTCCTCTGCCACCAGATTTCTCCACCTCCTCCTCCTCTACAGTAGATAATCCCCTGAATGTTCCCCCTTCTCGACGACCCTTTACATCGAGGTCGTTCGACTTTCCTCCCTGTAAAAAAAATGCACCTGGCATTCCCCGCACTGGAAAAATTACACGTTGTACAATTGCGCCTCGTGGTGTCTCGTTTAAACAGGTTTATAGTCTTCCCCTTCTTGCAAACCTGTTTAAGAGTCACCCCCCATTTAAAGAAACATTGTTCTGCCTACTTAAATGCCTAAGACGTCACACGTCTTAGGCATTTAAGGCAAAAATTTTACTTGCTTAAACGCATGAAAACACCGTTTTAACGCTTTAATCGCTATTTTGAGTGCCAAATGGAAAAAAAAATTCATGCGATAATATTCGAGAGTTAATTTTTGGCTGCTTAAGTGTAAAAATCGTCCAGAACCTATGTTTTACTGCTCAGATGTCCAAAACCATTAACGATGTCCAACGTTAAAACCATTGTTTTGCCTGTTTGCGTGTCTAAACAACATCTAAAAGCATTCAAAATAGTTACTGTAACTGCTCAAATGTCCAAAAATATCATGTAAAACAATCTCCATTTTTCAAGATCATGAAACAAGACTGGTCTTTTAGGCATAATTTATTGTGATAAACAATTTAGGCACAAAGTGATATATATGTACATTTGTTTCTCTTATCAAAACATTGTTTTATTTCTTACAAAAAAACTGACAAGTTATCTGTTATAATGCTATTTTCCCACAAATAAGGCATACTAATTTTGTACTGGACCCACTAGACTAGCTAAGCTGCCACTGGCACACCTTTGTTCGAAATTCTGTAATATGTTTTTAACAAAACAAAACAATGTTTTATCACAATGGGTTCTCTCTCTTCTCTGCCGAGTGTGACCAATTGAGAGGACTGCCCGGCGGAGTTGAGACGACGACGTGTACCTGAGTGATAGAAATTCGGGTGGTTCTGGTGGACCGGTGCCAGTTTCCCCAGTCGCTCTGTGGAGCACAAAACACGGCAAACACTCTCTCTGTACCAAAAATAGAGTGTAAGTGGTCATTTGTAATTAGGAATGCTTTGATGGCAGCCCACTCAAAATATCACAGATAGGGCCGCGAAACGTAACAAAATAAACGATGACGGGGCTCTGAACGATCCGTTGTGGCACTCCTGGAACCATCCTCCGATGCTTAAAATATACTTTGAAATGTCTCTTACCGACTAGAATCTGTCACCGACTCACAAGCCAGTGTGAAAATTACTCCCGTATGTTGCATTAATTAAAATATAATTACTATTTACAGTATTTACAGAAAGACCTTTGTTACAGTGTGTTTCAGTGACAGTGCAGTAACGACTCAACTGGAAGACGAGGCCGCAAAATTAAATACTTGTCTTCTTCCACGGCATAACAAGAACAACCGTAAATATCTCGAGAAGGAAAAAAAAAAACACAACAAATTATTAAATTAAGCTCTTCTGGAATTTCCTATCTACAATATTTACAGTTCTGCAGTTTCCTGCAAGTACGTCGTGTAATCATTTAAATTTAGGCACTTTCCACGTTGCTAGATACTGGTCTTGTTAATGTATGTCCGAGAAATGAGTCCTTGTTCTATAAACAGTTGGCAACACTACTGCATTAGGTATTACCTAAATTGCAGTGCAGGTACCCTAATGAATAACTATGCCAATGAGTTGAGGTTGCTTGATAAAAACCAAAGAAACAATAGAAAGAGGGGCAAAGATACTAAATTCTTAACAAAAAAACTGAAGCCCAATGTGTTATTTTCGATTTAATTCCGAGTCGTCGGATCTGGGTCTAATGGGTGGTAATTTATGAAGCTCCCTAAACTCATTGGAGGTCTCCAATTGTCAGATCGGCCATTCCATGCTGCCGGTGTTTGGCTTTGATTTCTTTCGGATCTTCTTGATAAACTCGTTAGCAACAGGTAGAGATTCCAGGCGGGGTGGTTTGCGGAAAGTGGGGTCATGGTGGGAAGCGTTGCCGCCAGCATTGTATCCCAAATTGGAGGGGAGGGAGTTACTGAGTGTGCCGTTGAAGGACGACTGAAAGAAGTTGTTGTCCAGTGGTTCACGGCGAGTTCCGTTCGTCATGGAATCTGACGGGTACAACATTATTGCAATTTGTTTTGTTTGGTTTGTGTTAGAGTTGCTGAAATTCTTACTTACGAAAGGGTTGGTTGGCTTCTTGATGTACCTTATTTAATAGCTGTTCTTGTCGTTTGGGTTTGAAGTACGTTCCCGCAATATCTTCCTGTTCACTTTTCTCCAACCTCTGTAATAATTAGATTCAAAATTAATGTTTTTGGAAGAATTTGGACAGACAAAAAAACATGTTACCTGTAAAAATTTATCTTCCGAGGTTTCATCAAAGTATCCCGTAAAGTTGTGGTTTGACTGGTTGGCCGAAGGAGGAATTCGCCCTCCAGGCTGTATACCTGCTTAAAATATGATGCAGAATTTCAAGCCATGTTTAACAGATTTTGAATTTTGAACAAGTAATCAATTTTATTTTAATACCAGTAGGAGGCAGTTTGGTTCGAATGATTAGTAAATCTGGCATGTGCCACTTTTGAGAATCTTCATCCCACCAACTGTCGGCCTTGATTCTGTCCAAGTTCGAATAGTTGCAATCCCTCCGAAGGCATGGTTGAATTTTATCTAATATCTGCTGTAATAGTTTGATCTGCTGATCTTGCCGACGGATCGTCTCCAGATAATCTGTTCTGTCTGCTTCGAATTCGCTTTGGAGATCCGCAATTTCAGTTTCCAAGGCAACGATCTGCAAAAAATTATCAAATCATTTATGTAACAGAACATTATTGAAAATATAATGTTCCATTTAGTCTTTGTTTACTTTTTTCTTCGCTTTTTTTACGAGAGAAGTTTTGGCTTTTAGTTCTTCATGGATATCGTCGTACACTTGCAACATGATGTTATCGTCATCATCTAATTTAGATAATGCTTCTGCAGAAATTAATTGCCATTATAAATATTTTGAATTAACTAATCAAAATAGAAATGTTCGAAATGTTAATACATACCTTTGAGTAGAGCTATCCTTTTTTCTGCAATGGTTTTCCTTTTGGCCCTTTTTTCCTTCAATTCTTTGTCATGTGCTTTCTCTCCTCCTACTATCTGATCCTGAAGTTCTTGTAACCTGAAGTAATTACATGCATAAATTTGTGTATAATACATGTGGTAAACAAAACATGCAATACACAAAGTAATACTTTTAAGTAATGATATTTACTATTAATGAGCAGCACTCTCAGACATTTAGGTTGACTAAATCTAGTTTCTCACCATTTTCCTTTTGTAAAAATAAGCATTTCCAGTATTAAAAATTCAGAAATGAGGATGAGGATATTTCTTAACTGTGGAATAAAGAATGTGGAAGGAAGAAACTGTTCGATGATGTAATGAGTCATAGTTAATAACAAGCGAGACATGAATGGTTAATTTCAATAACACTAACATTCAGAGGCATATTTTAATGATAGATTACAACTGTTAAAAGATATGACTGTGTCAACAGCACTAAGAGCACATCATGAGTTCAGTCAAACCACAACATAGAAAGCCAGCTCATGAAAAACAAGAGCCTAACCTATTTTGATCAGTTTGAAGTATTTGGTCTTAAATCAGAGTTACCAGAATCGTAACTCATCTCAGTTGTCTCACCATCATATGTTTTGATTAGCAAATGACATTTTACAAAAGTCTACTTACATTTTGTGGCTAATGTCCATTTTGACAATATATACTAAGAAATTTATTATCTAAAAACTTAACAATTGAAATGATCTATTGTAACAGACCAGAAAAACCACCAGTTTTACTTCTACAAAACTAAGTATTGTTTTCTAGTAATTGCAGTCTTCTGTCAAAGACCACAATTGTCTCGAGAAAGGAGGGGTTACAATATTACTCTTACAATGCTTGACAGATAAGAAGTAATCAGATTATGGCAAAACCATTCATAGGTCAGCCAAAAGCTAGTGTAAATGTATATGTAAAACAGTGAGAAACTTTGCATGAAAGGAATGATAAGTAACAGTCACTTGATCATTATCAACTGCTTGGATTAGAGCTAAGTTGGCAGATGAAAATCTTAGTTTTTGTAGTCATACAAGCATTAAATTTATGTCTGACAATGCTATGAAGTTTGACGAACTTACTGCTTAGTAACAAATCATCAGAATCTCCATTCTTCACTAATCTATGTAAACAACTAATACAGAGCTTTAATGTAGTATTTAATATAAACTTACCTCTCTAAAGCTTGTGCCTGAACATCCACAACTTTCTCCCTGAAATATAAAAATGTTAAAAATTATTATTTAAAATAGAGAAATTAAAATACGAATTTAAAATTCCAAATCGTTTTTCAGAAGAATGTCAAGTCATTCTTACGAAAATGGTACATTATTTTTTTATAATTCTGCATATCATGTACAAATTTAATATTAATGTGGAGTATTTCATAATACAGACAATATTCAAATCATAAGTGATGATTACAAAAATTTATTCTGTATAGTTGAGTAAATATTGTTAATGAGATTACATATTTGAATACAAACAGAAAATCAAAAAGAACAAAGAACCTCGTCTGCGGATATTGAGATTTTGAAGTGGTGTTAGAATACAGAAATGTCAGAAATCTGTAGTCTGACATAGAGAAGATGTGGAATTTGCAAAATTTGTTTATTACTGGCGACTATGAGGCTGATTGAAGTTAATGCCACCATTATTAAAACACTTCACACACTCTCTGAATAGTTAAATCCAATCCTATAAATAAACCCATCATTTATTTTATACATAAAATACGTTAGGATTAATTAATTCCGACTGGAAAGGCTGCAGCACTTAATAACTCACTCGTATCTAAATATGGATGGAGCTGTGCCATAGCGCCATATTTGAACATAAGGGGTGTAAAAATTCATTTACAACAGATAACCTGTGGGTTATTTGCAGGAAATATAGATAATTTGAGTATTAAAAGCCACAGAAAGACTGTCTTCTGTTTCTTTATTCAAATTTTTATACACAAATGAAACAATTGGATTTTACAATAGAATGCCATTATTTCCTGTAAATAACCCATTCGTCTATGTTTAAATGTATTTTGAGAGCAGAGGTGAATCATGTGATGATGTGGATTATCTGCTAACTTTAATTAGTAATTACAAATTTGTCCAATGGATTTCCTTTCCATAAATATACCAATAGTGTTCCTAAAAACTAAAAAACTTCTTCAGATGTACTTGTCAGCCATCATAAATTTTCCTAAAATTGTGAAAACACACACATGCCTTTAGTCTTGCCTCTTCTTTCCTGTATGTCAATCCACACTTAAATTGACACTCCAATTTGAACTTTATTTGTTAAACTAATAAATTTCCCCGCTCTCTATAAAATGAATCTTAGAGAACTTAATGCACTTTAATGCATACTCTTAAATGGAGTACAATAGTAAGAATTTGATAATGTAAATATGTTCAACTAAGTACAAGTTAGCATATAACAAAGAAGAAAAGACAACTCTTGGAGGGCTGTGTGTGACACGTGTGCAAGTCTCTACACTTGTTCTTCAAAGAATACCCTCCAAACTGCAATTCTATCGAACATCTCAATTTGAATCCTCTTTGAACATTTCTGTCCTAGAATTTCAGTTGCAAGTCATTGTTTTCAAACCAACTTTCATTTCTTGCAATATGTTAAAAGAACACATAACTACCATTTTTCAAATTCAAAACAAAGGATTCTATCAAATCATCACACTTTGCTTATAGTTTTACATGATTTTATACAAACTAGAACATAGTGTAATATAGTAATCATTTACACATTCTCTAATTCACAACAGTGTACAAATCTACTAAACATATAAAAAAATGTACTCTACTTCTAGTGTGTATTTCCATACTTTCCAGATAAGATATTAAATAAATCTAATGTTATCAAATTAAAACTCACTCCAAATATTCTAAAGAATAAACGTTCAGAAAGTGTAAGCATTTTTCATGTCCTTCTTTCTGCATTTCTAGGAAATTCTCTAACAGACACTTGAGTAAACACCATTGTTTCCTTACGCACTATGTCGACACTGCACATTTCAGTGTACACAGTTGAACTTACATAAATATTATGTTAAATTATATTATTATTTAAAAGGGTAATTTAATATTTAGTGTTAGCTAATTATTTATTAAATAGTTATAAGTGATACAACTGTACGTTTCAAAATGTAACAAGTGTTATATTTCTTCAATTTCTAACCAAGTTATTGTAATCAATTTCTTTGTAAACAAATATATTGTCTTTACTTGCGAGCCATAAGTTTTATGTCATAACAAATACTGTATATTATCATGTATTAAATTACATACTGCTTTAATTTGAAGTTTGTATTTATTAAAAAAATAAACGAAACCTATGCATTTGGATTAATTAACTGTTTCCTATCCTGTACGCTTTTTAAATGGAGAATAAAAGTAACTGCTGTAGAAATACTAAGCAGTAAGAAAGTTTAATTCCGTGCTTGTTGTGGGTTTAATTGGGCCGGGATGGTGAGGGACGAGGCCTTGAAAAATTCCTAACCTGATTTTTGAGAGCAGCGGTCAACTCCTCAACCACCTTCGTAATCCCTCCATCCATCTGCACATGATGGAACACTTTTTCACAGACTTCCATGCAATATTACTGCTACATTAAAATTCCCAGTACTGCATGACACATCCAGATGATTACAAACAAAGAGTATAACGTTAAGAGCAATTACAAAATAAAATGAGGTAAGATAAAAATGATGAATAATTTTGATCATGTATATGGTTATTTATATTGACTGTGAATACGATATTGTAATAAATAATATACAGAATTTCCTGTACTTCTAGACCCATAGGAGTTTCTCATATTACTGATTTTTCATTATAGGAAAACCTCATCCCTGACTTTGGTTCAGTTTATTTCTGTAGAGTAGTGTTTCTCAACCTCTAACAAATCATCGCCCCCTTCAATAAAACCGTTACTTAGTATCATCCCCTTCACTTCAAAATTCTGATGCCGAAGGCCAAGGCTAACGCCAAATTTGTACTGCATTGGATAGACTATTGACTAATATAATGTTATTTGTTTAATTATTGTACGATATAATGAAAAAATATCTAATTATTCTTAATATAATGTTTTACTATATCGCCCAGAAAATTATTTTTTGCCACCCCTAAAATATAAATTGTTACAAATTGCCCCCTCAACATGGAAAAACGCCCACATGGGATGATATCGTCCCTGTTGAGAAACACTGCTATAGAGCAACACAATATGTAGGCGATCTGCAGAAGGAGGACATCTCCCAGGACTTTCTAAGGTAAACTGGTCCTTAGAAAATTTAGGTGTTACTAATATGAAGAAAACCCAGAAAATTCCACCTGGCCAGCCTGTTGGTCAAGCACAAACCCACGACCAACTACTGGTGTTTGGTGGTTTTAACCACTTGGCCAGTGGGCATCACTGACTACAAAGGAATGAATTTGAGTTATTTTGACATCAAAATCAGTCAAATTCATTCTTCTTGAGTCAGTGACACGGAACACTATGAATATAATATATTTATTATATACAGTATTATATTCTATGTGATGTTTGCAATCTCAAAATTTCATATCAATTTTGTGTTTTCTGATACATATATATATATATATATTATATTGTGAACATATATATATAGCTATTCACAAATATATATAATAAACAGTATATTATGTAGAATAAACAAAATCTACAGTCTATAACATTACAAGACCAAGTTGCAGAACATTAGGATAATCAAATTCTAATTATTTTTATGTTCTCTTGAAAAATACAATTGGCCATATAAAATTAGACAGTGAGTTTTGATATCATGGATATATTAAGTATTGCATTCCAAGCCTTTCACATTTTATTTACAAAAAATTTTTTAAAAGTTACTTCTCACCTGGTACTGGTCCAATTTACTTAATATAAACACACATAAAAACCTTTACTTGACCAGTAAAAATATATTTAATGAAAACAACAAACGTTTTCGACTGCCTTCCTCAGTCTTCCTCAGGTTTTAAATTCTGATATTCGAAAATCGTTGTGCTTAAATATTTAAACATTTTGGAACATATACATCTTTGCGAATAAAATTCATTACGCGCATGCGTATTAATCATTACGTACGTGAACCCAAATATTCACAAATATTATTTTACATATACATGTAAACGATGTATAACACCTTACATAGAGTTGTGGGGGCATTCTGCTTCATACGCAAACCTCCAAGCTGCCGAAATATTAATAGCATCTTTATAGTTGATACAGCTATTACGTAATCCTGCTTTATAAATTTCCAAAGCTTCTAGCGTTCGTACGTGTTCTCTTCTGTGTGACATTTTAATGATTTGCGCGTTCTGCAAGTTAGCACTTATGCCAGGGGTCGAAGCATACGTAGATAGGGCAGTGGTGCATCTGTTGTGTTCAATGTCATATTTGTGTTCGCGCATACGTTTATCCAGAGNAAATTCATTCTTCTTGAGTCAGTGACACGGAACACTATGAATATAATATATTTATTATATACAGTATTATATTCTATGTGATGTTTGCAATCTCAAAATTTCATATCAATTTTGTGTTTTCTGATACATATATATATATATATATTATATTGTGAACATATATATATATATATAGCTATTCACAAATATATATAATAAACAGTATATTATGTAGAATTAACAAAATCTACAGTCTATAACATTACAAGACCAAGTTGCAGAACATTAGGATAATCAAATTCTAATTATTTTTATGTTCTCTTGAAAAATACAATTGGCCATATAAAATTAGACAGTGAGTTTTGATATCATGGATATATTAAGTATTGCATTCCAAGCCTTTCACATTTTATTTACAAAAAATTTTTTAATTTATAATACTGTATTTAATTTAGTAAAATTATTTAGATAATGATGTATTTCTTGTTTGAACACACTTAAAAATAAATTAACATTTTCCCTGTATACACTGTTATAGTTTTTAGTTATACAAATCCTACAGAAATCATCATACATCATGAGTTACAAGGAAATCTTCTTTTGTGATTATACTATAGATATGGCAAATGCTGTACTAATGTTGTTTACAATATGCACTTTTTAACTCTAATCTTTTCCTTGAATAAAAAATTTTATATATTAACTTCTAAAAACAACTTAATTCTTTTATTACAGCTATTTCTGTGCAACAGAAATGTATTTAGAGTATTAATCGTTCAAAATAAACACGATTTTTAGTAGTAGCATAAATTTTAAATTTTATCTTGAAATTTGCTTTAAAATATAGGGCGATTGAAAAGGTCTTAGACAAACTTTAAAGGTAGGTCAAGAATACAAAAATAAACCATTTTTACCTAAGAATGTATAGCTGCAAACATCGACTGGAGTTGCTGAGGTATAGACTGGAGATATGGAGATGGTATAGATATGGAGTTGCATGTATTTTAGAATACTAGGGTGGTGTATTTATGTATTCACAACCTACCTTTAAAGTTTGTCTAAGACTTTTGAATAACCCTGTATATAGTCAAACTTCCAATAATGAAATGGTGGCTATTTAGAGATGGTCATTTTTTTTTAACAATAACAAATGCAAAATAATCTCCAAACAACAGCTACCTTTCAATGATGGCCATTTTTTATGATTCCATCAGTTGCCGTTTTTCAAATATTTAACTGTATAACTTCATTTCATTTTCTATGATTATAAAATATTTATGTGCTTGTATAATTGCTGATATTCTATAATGTAACAAAATTAATGATCATTTGATGTGGCATCTTATCACTTAATTTTGATGGAAACAAAGATAGTTATTTATCTTTAATGGGAAACTTTAGAGCAAATTGTAGAGTCATAAATTATTATTTAACATTTTAGGTGAGTAATTTTAGCATACCATTACTAAATAAATTGGACATCACAAGAGAGGCTAGAAAGTGGCATTTACAGATTTTGCAAATTATTCTCTTACTCAAATTCTTGCAGATAGCTTTAGATTCAAAAAGACTAAATTATTTACCACAAAAATATACTTAGTGGCCTAGCTACGTTTTGTGCCATCGTGGATTGCTCTCAAGTTTGTCACTTTCCACAATAAACACAATATAATATACATCAAACACTTTTGAGAGAAAGTGGAAAGATTTACAGCCATAGGAGGGAGGGAAACCTCTAAAATAACTAGGACTCCATTACCAATGTTGTTTATTAATTAAGCGTGACTAAGTGTTGTTTTCAAGGATACACAGTCCTTACTGTTGTCAGAAATTTCCGACAATGCACATCATTTCTCAAAAAAATAAAATTATCTGTCTTGAATCCTTCTACTATCCTACAGAAAGCTTTCCTTTCCATTACGGTCTACTGTAAGCAAAAGCTTCCTGTCCTCCCTAGCTATACTCCTGCATATATTAATTTTGTTAACATAGTTACATCTGAAGTCATGTATGAAGACTCGGATGGGACCTTTTGCCTAGTTCAAAAGTCATTTTCAAGGTCACATCAAATGTATATCATATAAAGTTTGTTGGGTGTATTAGATACCAATTTTTAGCACATTTATCAGAACACATTCAAAATTTAAACAAAAGGCATTTTTTCCAACAGATGAATTAACACATCTATGTGAATAACTTCTAAAATTATTTTCACCTGTCTACAGTAGATACATTAAAACATTTTGTTTTATTAAAAAGTAATAAAAATCTCTAATAAGCCATATAAACAAAAGAAATGAAATTAAACTAATATACAAGGTGGATAGAAAGTATCTAGGAATTTAGGAATTGCTAAAATTTCTATATTTCTAATGCAAAGGTAATGAAATTTATCCAACATATACCTTATTACATAGAAATATGGATGTATAGCTTAAAATTAATGTAGGCACCAGCACCATCCACCAACATGCCTTCCTCAGATTGTGATGTGGATGAGCTTCACTTCTCTGTGCATCTGCAGCCAAACTTGTGGTGCACTTTGAATTACAATTCTCAATTATTTCCATACAAATTGTGGCACAACATCCCTTCATTGTACCCCACTATCTTTGCACAGCAGCCACCAATTTCCACACTTCATAACATGCAGCAATCTGTGCTCACTCCCGAACAGACAAGTGGTCGGTCAACCTTTTTGCTATATTGTAACCCATCCATTATTGTAAATATATCTGTGTATTCATCCCATTTTATTATTTCTGTATAATTTTGGTCCTAATAAATATCAATGTAGCTCTTGGGGTCCCCTTCCCCTTCTCCTTCATTTCCACTTTCCAATCAACCTTTCTCTTTCTTTTTCTCCATCTTAAGTTCTTCCCAGCCTTCTTTCTTTTCAACCCTTAGGGCAAAGTCAGTTTACATAACAGAAAGCCCTCTAATCCATTATAACAACAACAACAACCTTTTGGCCACTCTTGCCCATGCCACCAATAGGAATTATAAATTCCATTGATTGCTATATATGCAGATGTAAATTTTATGATTGCATTATTACTAAAAAAAATTATAGCAATTTTTCAATGTCTAGTTACTTTCCACCTACCCTGTAGATCAAATCAAATTGGATAAAAATATAAACACTTCTGTTCCCAAGCAATTTGGTTAAAGGCTTCTCAATCCAAATTAATAAATCGCTATATGATAACATAACACTTCTTTAATATATTATTCTCATACCGTCACTTCCCAAAGTATTTACCTTTCCTTCTTGTACACTCTGTAAGCATTACTTTTATTGTTAACATTTGTATTTTATTATTATTTCTTCAAGAGTTCTTGTAAGTTTCACTGACAAATCATTACAAGGTTTCTTTTTGTATAAGAAATTAGATCTAAGCAATTCATTAATTATATAAAATTTACTCACTCTTCGATATCTTCTACAACTTCAGACGTTTTTGTACACTGTGTCTGAATTTCGCCATTCTCGCTAATTTTTGCAACTGGAGAAGATACAACACGTTCCTTTGTCATAGACGTTTCCTGTTAGAAACAATTCAACTGTTAGTTTTTAAAACCTGCTGGAGATTTATAATGCTAAGTTAGTATGAACCTCTGCACTGGCACTTCGTTTTTTGGTAACTTTTGTCAGTTCGTCTTGATAGAATGCTTTCAGATGAGTGACGTCGTTCTGTAGTTTTGCATTACTCTCTTGTTCTTTTTGATATTTGGACATTAACTCTCTCATTTTTTCATCATATTCCTGTTGGAAAGAACAGATTTTGCATTTTAAAGATAGAATCATACTGAAGCTTTTCACACAGAGAAATTTACTTTGTAATTTTATTATCATTATTAAATTACATGTTAAAGATTTCAGAAACCCATAGCAGTACTTAAATTGCTGACTAAATTAAGGATTTCAAGCAATAGTGAGTTTGCACAAGATTAAAAAGCATTATTATTGCATTGAAGAGTTCTCTACTAGCTTATCATTGATAGTAAGATATTTTTATTAAAACTATCCATTAGTTTACTACATGATAAAGTTATGAAAATGTTCAAGCTTCTTGACAATATATTTCTTATTAAGAACATTCTAAATCTATCTTGAACTTTTCAAGTTAGTTATTTGTAAGAATGAAGAGAAATTTAAGCCACTTCCCATTGAAAATATAGGATAAGAGGGGGTCCAATTCATGCATTTTCATATTATAAACTGAATAAAATTATATAAACTTCACTCATACCTTGACATAAACTCACTACTGCATTAAAATTAAATATTAATTTTACAATTTTACTTCTTTCCATCAAAATAAAAAACGTTTTTCTCATTTTCTGTAGGAAAATATAAAATTTATATAATTAGTTTCATAAAATAAATGCTTTTACTGTTATAAATACTTAAAAAACATAATAAAGAACTTGTAATTAAAGATATATCTTTTGAATTTAAAATAAAAATCAGGTTTTGTAACGTACTGGAGATACAAGATTTATTCAAGATCATCTTGTGAATTTTAAAATGGAAACATTGAAGATCAGAATCACAGCTATTTAAGAGTTCTCGTAAAGAATGAATATGGACTTCCTCTTCAAAAATGTATTTTATTTGTTACTCATTAATCATATCATATATACTGTCGATAGCTGCTTTTTTTTTTATTGTGTTTATACAAATTATTGTGTAAATTTGTTAGAGAATCCATTCTTCAGAATCAGAAGACAAAGAAGTCTACTAGAAAAAGAACTTAACTATATTGTAATGAAGGAAGTGATGTATGTCACTGTTGCACAACTAAAAGCCACACTAGAATGGCTACTATTACATCATAATCACCTCAGATATTTAATAAACAGAGCCAAATGCATCCATGCCAAAAGAACAGTAATAACCAGAAAATTGGTATTGTCTCACATAACAGGTTATATCAAGTTATCCGACTTCTTTTATATACGTAAAATTCAATATTAAACGTGTAGGACGGATGTTCGGTGCCGCTTTCCCGTAAGCCTAGAAGTTTGACAATGGTGTTTGGAATGTCGAGCGTGATTCCACCGACTATCCAAACACCATTGTCAAACTTTTAGGCTTACGGGAAAGTGGCGCCGAACGTCCGACCTACATGTTTACACGTTTAAAACGTCTGCCTCAACCTCTCTAATTACAGTCCTAACCAGAAAATCAAGTTTTGACATCAATGTCTGGCAATATTTAAATGAATGTGTACAACATTGCCCAATTCCTTATATTCAAAAGAACTATTCTCAAGCAGATTACATGTTCTGATCAGATCAAATTTCCACTATGCCAAAACTGTACCTAACTACCTGTGACGAGAAAATATCTTCATCGAAAAAGGAAGATGACCAACAAACATGCCAGAAATTAGGCCAATTGAGGATTTATGCGGAAAATCACTTACGGCTGCTGCTATTTTCGTTGTGAATTTGTCTCTTTAATCCGATTTTCAGTTCAGTAGACTATCATCTGCAGCTTGCAAGATGATAGTCTACCGAACTGAAAAAAATGAGGATTTATAGGCAATTCTTAAGGCAAACATTCACGAAAAGGATCAACCAATCAATTACATTAAGTACTGTCTGAAAAATATGAACCAAGTCTTAAACAGAAACTTGCACTGCATGCCCAAAGTTGAATTGACCATATTGAATTGTGTTCGACAATGGAAACTTGTACAATTACAAAAACAAAAGATAATGTACAGCTTTTCATCACCATTCAAATACTACATTCAGAGTTTTCTTTTTCTAAAGAAAAGGCTGTCACACGAACATCTCAATGGGTAATTGGTTCAAACACCTTTATTTTCTAGGAATTATCACATCCACAGACTCCAAAAATACTAGCCAATCAACAACTTTATTCCACCCAGATGCGTTTAGGAAATTACGATATTTCTCTCCTCAGTGGGTTTTCTTTCATACAAGCTAAACAAGGCATAAACACTTTTTTGATACTCTCACACAATTTTTCAATTTTCCTACCATTTTGACTACTTTCTGTGATAATTCCTACAAAATAATGGTGTCTGAACCAATTACATATTGAGATTTAAAAAAAACATAACAGAAGCAAGAGATAAAGTACACAAACATGTGTGGATTTTTTCTAGACACCAATTAAGTTTAGAACAATGCTGGTGAAACATTAATAGGACATGAGAAAAACAAATGTACAATGCCACAAACCTGCTTTGCAACACAACAATACTCACATAAGGTGAGAGAAGGAAGATAATGTTAAACAATTTAATTCCCCATGAAAACTGATGTACACAAAGGACTTAAAGTTTTCAAACAGAAAATCAGAGGGGGAATGCATTACAGAAATGCAGAAACTTTGGAAAATGCTTGAAAATGTACAATTATCAACTTATCTAGAAATTATTTTCAATTAATTGCATTTTTTAAGTTTTGTAGTTTTAATTTTATAAGAACTTTAAAATTTGAAATTAACATTCTCAACAGCAACCTTGTGCTAATTCTGAAGGAAATACAACTAATTGAGAAAACAGTAGGCAATCAAGTTCTAATATACAAGGTTCTTACTCAAATTTTTGTTTTTATTTCCATGACTTTCTCTGACCAACTTCGTACAAATTCCCTTATCCACATGTCCCTTACAGTACGGCACATTGACAAAATAAAACAGCATTTGAGTTACTATACATATATGTTTTGCTTCTCCAACATTTTAATTAATTAATTGTTTTTTCTAATTAACAGTTATATATTTTTTATAATTGCTGAATTATTAAAATTAAAAATAAAATGTATTATTAAAATTCTGTTATTAATCCATAACCATAAATCTACATGGCTTTGAAAAAAGAAAATAAATAAATTATTTTTTATTATTCATTAACAAATTCTATATAATCCATGTACAAAAGTATATATTTATTAAATTTATCTCTTCACAAATTTCCTGAACTTTATAAAATATTAATAAATTAAAAAAGAAAAAAAATTTGTTACACAATCAAAATTATTAAAAAGAAAATGATAAAAAAATACCATTTAAACTATTTTTCATTTTGTGTACTTTGTAAATTTTTGTTTAAGCTTGGGAGAAATTTTGTACACTTGCGTGCTCGGGTTCAATTCTCTTGTTGTGTATACTTTTCTTTTTCCTTTTTTTAAATTCATAAATACTTATAATGTATTTATTTATTTACTCATTCATTTATTTCTTATTATTTATTGATTTTTTTGGTATTTTTTAATGATTTATTTATTTTAATTTAATTTAATTTCTACTATTCCAAGTCTAATATTTTTACTTTGAAAATCCACCATTGTCAAGTTGAGAGGTAGCTACTTATGCCGGGTTTGAACATGGGTCTATAGACTTTTTCACTCACTCTTTAACAGTTCGTTTCTGAATTTCGACATAAATAGATGTATTTGTGCAGTGAAATTTATTTTGAAAAATTATTTTACAATTAAAAAAAAATGTCATCAAGAGAAGCAAGTTCTTGATGTTCAGACAAAAAAACTGTTGATGATAACTCTTTATACAGTGATGTATCAAAGCAATGGCTAAAAGATGGAGTATTAATATGTAAATTTTTCGACTATTTAAACTAAACATTCGCATCACCCAGGTATACAAAATAAAATAAAAATTGTCTTCTGTTAATCTTTGTAATATTATCTGTAAAACCAGTATAATAAGTCCTGATAATAGATGAAAGTCAAATTTATAGTCGAAAAATTTACATATTAATAAGGAAAAAAGGACATTGAGGCAATTTAATTAAAAGATGGAGTAGTTTATTATGAGAGTTTACTTTTCGAAAATAATTTAATTGCAACAACATCTTCTGATACACTATCTGAAGATGCTATGCTGATAGGCACAGAATTATACAATAATACATTGGATGTGTTGAATGAAAAAAACTTTATAATTGATGACGAATTGATTAATGTCCAAGAAGAATGTACAGAAGGAAATTCTGAAGCAGTTAAAGATGACTCATCTGATGACTATGTATCATACCTGATGAAAAAACATAGAATGAAGGAATATATTTCACCGGAATATAAAATCAAAGTTTTAAAAGTAGCAAAAGCACACCTTACATGGAAACTACAAACATTACAAAAAATGGATGTAGTCATTTGAAAAGAATGGATCATTTAAAATTATGGGAAAAAGATGTTGAATGTGGTGGAACTATTTTTGATAAATATCATTTGATTGATTCTTGGACATATAACTGCTTTGTCAAAATGAGACATAATTATCAAAAAAAATATTATAATAATAATAATAATAAGAAGAAGAAGAAGAAGAAATAAATGAATGAGTAAATACATTATAAGTATTTATGAATAAAAAACAAAAAGTACACACAAGAGAATCAAACCCGAGCATGCAAGCATACAAGTCAGGAGCATTACCACTCATGCCGCAGCATGCTCAAGTGAAAGTACGCGTAACTTATATATAAAGTGCTAAAGAAAACTTTAAGTTCGTTTTTCTCGATTATATTTGAGTGTTGCACTTTAGTACTTTACAGGTAGTACATTCACGTGGTATACTACCTCTACACTAAAGATCATCAAAATCCATTTCCCCAAAGCCGTAGGGTCTCCTAGTTAAGCGTACTGTCAGCAAAAAATCAACAAGGCAGCCAAGGAAGCAAATTCCCTGACTTTTTGACAATTTTTAACAAATTCCCTGACATTCCATGACTTTTTCTGAATACTAATGAAAATCCCTGACTTTCTGGCTGTGTAGGAACTCTGAACATATTCTTTTCTAAAAATTTAAATGTGTATGTTCTATTTGTCAAACCATTGGTTTATATTCAGACATTCAGTCGAAGCCTGATGATGGACAGAAAAGGCAAGCGAGAAAAAATTGCATATTAAAAACTTTCCACTGAGTTAAGGTGTATTTGTTAATAATTAAAAGATATACATCTTTATACTATTTTGAATAATATTTTATTTTAATTATACTGTTTTAAATTTTCTGTACTTTACATTAAATATTATACAATAAGTCCTTTAAGCAAAATGATGTTTCACAAAAATGATTTTACCATAAGCTAACTGATGTAAACAATAGTTTCTAAAGTATATTTCTGGTCACAAAAGCATTGAACTTCTAAATAAAGACTCCTCTAATATTAAAGATTGATTTTTAACCCATTTATTTAAGCTCAGGATTATACACAACATACTTATTGTTTTGTATTTAGTCATGCTTCAAAATGACAATCTAGAACTGTTTTCCAGCAATCTAAACTTGCTGGAAAACAGTTCTCACAGGCACCAACAAGTCCATGAGGATGTCTCAAAGCATGAACATTCTGTAAGATGATATCCAAAATCCAAAGGATTATGGTGTATTATTCCCTAATAACATATACTGTACAAAAACTCTGAAAATTAATTTGATTATTCCAACAAACAGATGGATTATCAGACTACATTAAGACTAATAAATAATTAATTAGCTTTAACAGAGGTCCCTAAAAATAGAGATATCTCATAGGAAACTAATTCAAAAGCAGAAGTTTTGGCTGTGTCATGCAAACTAACATTCTGTGAAGAGACATCATGCTAAAATGAATCAGTGACTCTTGATGATGATGACAACAAGCCCTATGGCTGGATACCATCAAAGCATGACCATGAATAAGCTGAAGGAAGCTGTATTTGACAGCCAAATGTAAGACTATGGAATGACCTGGAATTGGCCACACCTATATGATTAAACCCTAACTATATGTTATAAATTATATAAAATCCTGAAATTAAATAATAGAACAAAACTGTTTGCAAATGATGTAAATTTTATTTTATAATTTTATATTTTAGATTTTATGCTCATTGCTTCTTTNTATGGAGAATGGTATAGATATGGAGTTGCATGTATTTTAGAATACTAGGGTGGTGTATTTGTTTATGTATTCACAACCTACCTTTAAAGTTTGTCTAAGACTTTTGAATAACCCTGTATATACAGTCGAACTTCCAATAATGAAATGGTGGCTATTTAGAGATGGTCATTTTTTTTTAACAATAACAAATGCAAAATAATCTCCAAACAATAGCTACCTTTCAATGATGGCCATTTTTTATGATTCCATCAGTTGCCGTTTTTCAAATATTTAACTGTATAACTTCATTTCATTTTCTATGATTATAAAATATTTATGTGCTTGTATAATTGCTGATATTCTATAATGTAACAAAATTAATGATCATTTGATGTGGCATCTTATCACTTAATTTTGATGGAAACAAAGATAGTTATTTATCTTTAATGGGAAACTTTAGAGCAAATTGTAGAGTCATAAATTATTATTTAACATTTTAGGTGAGTAATTTTAGCATACCATTACTAAATAAATTGGACATCACAAGAGAGGCTAGAAAGTGGCATTTACAGATTTTGCAAATTATTCTCTTACTCAAATTCTTGCAGATAGCTTTAGATTCAAAAAGACTAAATTATTTACCACAAAAATATACTTAGTGGCCTAGCTACGTTTTGTGCCATCGTGGATTGCTCTCAAGTTTGTCACTTTCCACAATAAACACAATATAATATACATCAAACACTTTTGAGAGAAAGTGGAAAGATTTACAGCCATAGGAGGGAGGGAAACCTCTAAAATAACTAGGACTCCATTACCAATGTTGTTTATTAATTAAGCGTGACTAAGTGTTGTTTTCAAGGATACACAGTCCTTACTGTTGTCAGAAATTTCCGACAATGCACATCATTTCTCAAAAAAATAAAATTATCTGTCTTGAATCCTTCTACTATCCTACAGAAAGCTTTCCTTTCCATTACGGTCTACTGTAAGCAAAAGCTTCCTGTCCTCCCTAGCTATACTCCTGCATATATTAATTTTGTTAACATAGTTACATCTGAAGTCATGTATGAAGACTCGGATGGGACCTTTTGCCTAGTTCAAAAGTCATTTTCAAGGTCACATCAAATGTATATCATATAAAGTTTGTTGGGTGTATTAGATACCAATTTTTAGCACATTTATCAGAACACATTCAAAATTTAAACAAAAGGCATTTTTTCCAACAGATGAATTAACACATCTATGTGAATAACTTCTAAAATTATTTTCACCTGTCTACAGTATATACATTAAAACATTTTGTTTTATTAAAAAGTAATAAAAATCTCTAATAAGCCATATAAACAAAAGAAATGAAATTAAACTAATATACAAGGTGGATAGAAAGTATCTAGGAATTTAGGAATTGCTAAAATTTCTATATTTCTAATGCAAAGGTAATGAAATTTATCCAACATATACCTTATTACATAGAAATATGGATGTATAGCTTAAAATTAATGTAGGCACCAGCACCATCCACCAACATGCCTTCCTCAGATTGTGATGTGGATGAGCTTCACTTCTCTGTGCATCTGCAGCCAAACTTGTGGTGCACTTTGAATTACAATTCTCAATTATTTCCATACAAATTGTGGCACAACATCCCTTCATTGTACCCCACTATCTTTGCACAGCAGCCACCAATTTCCACACTTCATAACATGCAGCAATCTGTGCTCACTCCCGAACAGACAAGTGGTCGGTCAACCTTTTTGCTATATTGTAACCCATCCATTATTGTAAATATATCTGTGTATTCATCCCATTTTATTATTTCTGTATAATTTTGGTCCTAATAAATATCAATGTAGCTCTTGGGGTCCCCTTCCCCTTCTCCTTCATTTCCACTTTCCAATCAACCTTTCTCTTTCTTTTTCTCCATCTTAAGTTCTTCCCAGCCTTCTTTCTTTTCAACCCTTAGGGCAAAGTCAGTTTACATAACAGAAAGCCCTCTAATCCATTATAACAACAACAACAACCTTTTGGCCACTCTTGCCCATGCCACCAATAGGAATTATAAATTCCATTGATTGCTATATATGCAGATGTAAATTTTATGATTGCATTATTACTAAAAAAAATTATAGCAATTTTTCAATGTCTAGTTACTTTCCACCTACCCTGTAGATCAAATCAAATTGGATAAAAATATAAACAATTCCAAAACTCAAAACACTTCTGTTCCCAAGCAATTTGGTTAAAGGCTTCTCAATCCAAATTAATAAATCGCTATATGATAACATAACACTTCTTTAATATATTATTCCCATACCGTCACTTCCCAAAGTATTTACCTTTCCTTCTTGTACACTCTGTAAGCATTACTTTTATTGTTAACATTTGTATTTTATTATTATTTCTTCAAGAGTTCTTGTAAGTTTCACTGACAAATCATTACAAGGTTTCTTTTTGTATAAGAAATTAGATCTAAGCAATTCATTAATTATATAAAATTTACTCACTCTTCGATATCTTCTACAACTTCAGACGTTTTTGTACACTGTGTCTGAATTTCGCCATTCTCGCTAATTTTTGCAACTGGAGAAGATACAACACGTTCCTTTGTCATAGACGTTTCCTGTTAGAAACAATTCAACTGTTAGTTTTTAAAACCTGCTGGAGATTTATAATGCTAAGTTAGTATGAACCTCTGCACTGGCACTTCGTTTTTTGGTAACTTTTGTCAGTTCGTCTTGATAGAATGCTTTCAGATGAGTGACGTCGTTCTGTAGTTTTGCATTACTCTCTTGTTCTTTTTGATATTTGGACATTAACTCTCTCATTTTTTCATCATATTCCTGTTGGAAAGAACAGATTTTGCATTTTAAAGATAGAATCATACTGAAGCTTTTCACACAGAGAAATTTACTTTGTAATTTTATTATCATTATTAAATTACATGTTAAAGATTTCAGAAACCCATAGCAGTACTTAAATTGCTGACTAAATTAAGGATTTCAAGCAATAGTGAGTTTGCACAAGATTAAAAAGCATTATTATTGCATTGAAGAGTTCTCTACTAGCTTATCATTGATAGTAAGATATTTTTATTAAAACTATCCATTAGTTTACTACATGATAAAGTTATGAAAATGTTCAAGCTTCTTGACAATATATTTCTTATTAAGAACATTCTAAATCTATCTTGAACTTTTCAAGTTAGTTATTTGTAAGAATGAAGAGAAATTTAAGCCACTTCCCATTGAAAATATAGGATAAGAGGGGGTCCAATTCATGCATTTTCATATTATAAACTGAATAAAATTATATAAACTTCACTCATACCTTGACATAAACTCACTACTGCATTAAAATTAAATATTAATTTTACAATTTTACTTCTTTCCATCAAAATAAAAAACGTTTTTCTCATTTTCTGTAGGAAAATATAAAATTTATATAATTAGTTTCATAAAATAAATGCTTTTACTGTTATAAATACTTAAAAAACATAATAAAGATCTTGTAATTAAAGATATATCTTTTGAATTTAAAATAAAAATCAGGTTTTGTAACGTACTGGAGATACAAGATTTATTCAAGATCATCTTGTGAATTTTAAAATGGAAACATTGAAGATCAGAATCACAGCTATTTAAGAGTTCTCGTAAAGAATGAATATGGACTTCCTCTTCAAAAATGTATTTTATTTGTTACTCATTAATCATATCATATATACTGTCGATAGCTGCTTTTTTTTTTATTGTGTTTATACAAATTATTGTGTAAATTTGTTAGAGAATCCATTCTTCAGAATCAGAAGACAAAGAAGTCTACTAGAAAAAGAACTTAACTATATTGTAATGAAGAAAGTGATGTATGTCACTGTTGCACAACTAAAAGCCACACTAGAATGGCTACTATTACATCATAATCACCTCAGATATTTAATAAACAGAGCCAAATGCATCCATGCCAAAAGAACAGTAATAACCAGAAAATTGGTATTGTCTCACATAACAGGTTATATCAAGTTATCCGACTTCTTTTATATACGTAAAATTCAATATTAAACGTGTAGGACGGATGTTCGGTGCCGCTTTCCCGTAAGCCTAGAAGTTTGACAATGGTGTTTGGAATGTCAAGCATGATTCCACCGACTATCCAAACACCATTGTCAAACTTTTAGGCTTACGGGAAAGTGGCGCCGAACGTCCGACCTACACGTTTACACGTTTAAAACGTCTGCCTCAACCTCTCTAATTACAGTCCTAACCAGAAAATCAAGTTTTGACATCAATGTCTGGCAATATTTAAATGAATGTGTACAACATTGCCCAATTCCTTATATTCAAAAGAACTATTCTCAAGCAGATTACATGTTCTGATCAGATCAAATTTCCACTATGCCAAAACTGTACCTAACTACCTGTGACGAGAAAATATCTTCATCGAAAAAGGAAGATGACCAACAAACATGCCAGAAATTAGGCCAATTGAGGATTTATGCGGAAAATCACTTACGGCTGCTGCTATTTTCGTTGTGAATTTGTCTCTTTAATCCGATTTTCAGTTCAGTAGACTATCATCTGCAGCTTGCAAGATGATAGTCTACCGAACTGAAAAAAATGAGGATTTATAGGCAATTCTTAAGGCAAACATTCACGAAAAGGATCAACCAATCAATTACATTAAGTACTGTCTGAAAAATATGAACCAAGTCTTAAACAGAAACTTGCACTGCATGCCCAAAGTTGAATTGACCATATTGAATTGTGTTCGACAATGGAAACTTGTACAATTACAAAAACAAAAGATAATGTACAGCTTTTCATCACCATTCAAATACTACATTCAGAGTTTTCTTTTTCTAAAGAAAAGGCTGTCACACAAACATCTCAATGGGTAATTGGTTCAAACACCTTTATTTTCTAGGAATTATCACATCCACAAACTCCAAAAATACTAGCCAATCAACAACTTTATTCCACCCAGATGCGTTTAGGAAATTACGATATTTCTCTCCTCAGTGGGTTTTCTTTCATACAAGCTAAACAAGGCATAAACACTTTTTTGATACTCTCACACAATTTTTCAATTTTCCTACCATTTTGACTACTTTCTGTGATAATTCCTACAAAATAATGGTGTCTGAACCAATTACATATTGAGATTTAAAAAATATATAACAGAAGCAAGAGATAAAGTACACAAACATGTGTGGATTTTTTCTAGACACCAATTAAGTTTAGAACAATGCTGGTGAAACATTAATAGGACATGAGAAAAAACAAATGTACAATGCCTGCTTTGCAACACAACAATACTCACATAAGGTGAGAGAAGGAAGATAATGTTAAACAATTTAATTCCCCATGAAAACTGATGTACACAAAGGACTTAAAGTTTTCAAACAGAAAATCAGAGGGGGAATGCATTACAGAAATGCAGAAACTTTGGAAAATGCTTGAAAATGTACAATTATCAACTTATCTAGAAATTATTTTCAATTAATTGCATTTTTTAAGTTTTGTAGTTTTAATTTTATAAGAACTTTAAAATTTGAAATTAACATTCTCAACAGCAACCTTGTGCTAATTCTGAAGGAAATACAACTAATTGAGAAAACAGTAGGCAATCAAGTTCTAATATACAAGGTTCTTACTCAAATTTTTGTTTTTATTTCCATGACTTTCTCTGACCAACTTCGTACAAATTCCCTTATCCACATGTCCCTTACAGTACGGCACATTGACAAAATAAAACAGCATTTGAGTTACTATACATATATGTTTTGCTTCTCCAACATTTTAATTAATTAATTGTTTTTTCTAATTAACAGTTATATATTTTTTATAATTGCTGAATTATTAAAATTAAAAATAAAATGTATTATTAAAATTCTGTTATTAATCCATAACCATAAATCTACATGGCTTTGAAAAAAGAAAATAAATAAATTATTTTTTATTATTCATTAACAAATTCTATATAATCCATGTACAAAAGTATATATTTATTAAATTTATCTCTTCACAAATTTCCTGAACTTTATAAAATATTAATAAATTAAAAAAGAAAAAAAATTTGTTACACAATCAAAATTATTAAAAAGAAAATGATAAAAAAATACCATTTAAACTATTTTTCATTTTGTGTACTTTGTAAATTTTTGTTTAAGCTTGGGAGAAATTTTGTACACTTGCGTGCTCGGGTTCAATTCTCTTGTTGTGTATACTTTTCTTTTTCCTTTTTTTAAATTCATAAATACTTATAATGTATTTATTTATTTACTCATTCATTTATTTCTTATTATTTATTGATTTTTTTGGTATTTTTTAATGATTTATTTATTTTAATTTAATTTAATTTCTACTATTCCAAGTCTAATATTTTTACTTTGAAAATCCACCATTGTCAAGTTGAGAGGTAGCTACTTATGCCGGGTTTGAACATGGGTCTATAGACTTTTTCACTCACTCTTTAACAGTTCGTTTCTGAATTTCGACATAAATAGATGTATTTGTGCAGTGAAATTTATTTTGAAAAATTATTTTACAATTAAAAAAAAATGTCATCAAGAGAAGCAAGTTCTTGATGTTCAGACAAAAAAACTGTTGATGATAACTCTTTATACAGTGATGTATCAAAGCAATGGCTAAAAGATGGAGTATTAATATGTAAATTTTTCGACTATTTAAACTAAACATTCGCATCACCCAGGTATACAAAATAAAATAAAAATTGTCTTCTGTTAATCTTTGTAATATTATCTGTAAAACCAGTATAATAAGTCCTGATAATAGATGAAAGTCAAATTTATAGTCGAAAAATTTACATATTAATAAGGAAAAAAGGACATTGAGGCAATTTAATTAAAAGATGGAGTAGTTTATTATGAGAGTTTACTTTTCGAAAATAATTTAATTGCAACAACATCTTCTGATACACTATCTGAAGATGCTATGCTGATAGGCACAGAATTATACAATAATACATTGGATGTGTTGAATGAAAAAAACTTTATAATTGATGACGAATTGATTAATGTCCAAGAAGAATGTACAGAAGGAAATTCTGAAGCAGTTAAAGATGACTCATCTGATGACTATGTATCATACCTGATGAAAAAACATAGAATGAAGGAATATATTTCACCGGAATATAAAATCAAAGTTTTAAAAGTAGCAAAAGCACACCTTACATGGAAACTACAAACATTACAAAAAATGGATGTAGTCATTTGAAAAGAATGGATCATTTAAAATTATGGGAAAAAGATGTTGAATGTGGTGGAACTATTTTTGATAAATATCATTTGATTGATTCTTGGACATATAACTGCTTTGTCAAAATGAGACATAATTATCAAAAAAAATATTATAATAATAATAATAATAAGAAGAAGAAGAAGAAGAAATAAATGAATGAGTAAATACATTATAAGTATTTATGAATAAAAAACAAAAAGTACACACAAGAGAATCAAACCCGAGCATGCAAGCATACAAGTCAGGAGCATTACCACTCATGCCGCACCATGCTCAAGTGAAAGTACGCGTAACTTATATATAAAGTGCTAAAGAAAACTTTAAGTTCGTTTTTCTCGATTATATTTGAGTGTTGCACTTTAGTACTTTACAGGTAGTACATTCACGTGGTATACTACCTCTACACTAAAGATCATCAAAATCCATTTCCCCAAAGCCGTAGGGTCTCCTAGTTAAGCGTACTGTCAGCAAAAAATCAACAAAGCCGCCAAGGAAGCAAATTCCCTGACTTTTTGACAATTTTTAACAAATTCCCTGACATTCCATGACTTTTTCTGAATACTAATGAAAATCCCTGACTTTCTGGCTGTGTAGGAACTCTGAACATATTCTTTTCTAAAAATTTAAATGTGTATGTTCTATTTGTCAAACCATTGGTTTATATTCAGACATTCAGTCGAAGCCTGATGATGGACAGAAAAGGCAAGCGAGAAAAAATTGCATATTAAAAACTTTCCACTGAGTTAAGGTGTATTTGTTAATAATTAAAAGATATACATCTTTATACTATTTTGAATAATATTTTATTTTAATTATACTGTTTTAAATTTTCTGTACTTTACATTAAATATTATACAATAAGTCCTTTAAGCAAAATGATGTTTCACAAAAATGATTTTACCATAAGCTAACTGATGTAAACAATAGTTTCTAAAGTATATTTCTGGTCACAAAAGCATTGAACTTCTAAATAAAGACTCCTCTAATATTAAAGATTGATTTTTAACCCATTTATTTAAGCTCAGGATTATACACAACATACTTATTGTTTTGTATTTAGTCATGCTTCAAAATGACAATCTAGAACTGTTTTCCAGCAATCTAAACTTGCTGGAAAACAGTTCTCACAGGCAGCAACAAGTCCATGAGGATGTCTCAAAGCATGAACATTCTGTAAGATGATATCCAAAATCCAAAGGATTATGGTGTATTATTCCCTAATAACATATACTGTACAAAAACTCTGAAAATTAATTTGATTATTCCAACAAACAGATGGATTATCAGACTACATTAAGACTAATAAATAATTAATTAGCTTTAACAGAGGTCCCTAAAAATAGAGATATCTCATAGGAAACTAATTCAAAAGCAGAAGTTTTGGCTGTGTCATGCAAACTAACATTCTGTGAAGAGACATCATGCTAAAATGAATCAGTGACTCTTGATGATGATGACAACAAGCCCTATGGCTGGATACCATCAAAGCATGACCATGAATAAGCTGAAGGAAGCTGTATTTGACAGCCAAATGTAAGACTATGGAATGACCTGGAATTGGCCACACCTATATGATTAAACCCTAACTATATGTTATAAATTATATAAAATCCTGAAAATTAAATAATAGAACAAAACTGTTTGCAAATGATGTAAATTTTATTTTATAATTTTATATTTTAGATTTTATGCTCATTGCTTCTTTAAGCATTAAAATATGCTTATAGTACTAGTAAGTAAAATAAGTTTTCTTCCTGTTTAAATATATTATGAGAAGTGTTACAAACAATAAAACATTGTACAGAATTTACCTTTCTTAATTTTTCAACCTTATTTTCTTCTTCAGCCTGTTTCTTCTCTGTTTTAGTGACATAAATATAAAAATATTAAATTATGTTTATCAAATGTAACAGACAATAATCTACATTTAATACTAACTCAAAATTTCTTCTTGTTCAACAGTTTCCTGCCCACTCAACAACGATTTCAATCTTTCTATTTCTTCCTGATATTCCCTCAGGAGAGCATCTTTTGGATCTTCATTTATTTTTGGCTTGTTTTGTATATTCTTTGCTCTATTTGCATACCGTAGTGTGCTTAACGTTTCATCATAGTTATTATCGGCTGGAGAAATGCAAGCCACCATCAGCGTTTTAGTATTTCCACCCAAAGAATCTTGAAGTAATCTCGTAAGTTTAGAATCTCTGTACGGAATATGTTTGGATTTTCCATCTACCAAAGCCGAGATCACATTGCCAAGTGCAGACAGTGAGAGGTTTATTTTTGTGGCTTCTTTCAAACGATCTCCCGTGGCTCCTGAAATATAAGTGATATATCAAAATATATAATTTAAGCCAGTAAGGTATGGGAGTTCATTAATAAACAAATAAATCTGTACCCGTCTTAGCCTGACGTTCACTCCCAGCCAAATCGACAAGGTTAAGTTTACCCTTTCTTATGTGTTGATCAACATCAGTATCCATATTAAACGTTTCCAGATGGATCGTGAATATTGAATGACTCCGAGAAGAGTCAGCATTCATCAATGTGGCACCAACAGAACGATTTTTCCAGCCTTTATCCATTATCTCTTCACACTGTTGAACATTGTGAACAGGATGTAAGGATAAACCTAAACATTACAAAACTACATTGAAAGATCTTATAAAATAAAAAGTAAGACAAAAAAATAGTAAAAAATTACCTGCTACATAAACTCCCTTGTCAGGATGTTCCTTTAAATCTAGCTTTTTTTTACAGTCTTTACCTAAAAGATCACGAATCTCTTCATTGTATATCTCCAGGTAGCAAGCATGAACTAAATACTTTTTGTTTTCAGATGTCGCTATCGCTTCAAAAACATGTTCAAATGCCCTAGGAATAATACCTCTCTGCGTCACTGGATCAGGTATACCCTGCATCGTAAATGATTTCCCACAACCGGTCTGTCCATACGCGAATACTGTTCCATTGTACCCTTCTGTAACTCCCTGAAATAAAGCAAAAAGTAATAATTTCATACATACATATATATATATATACACACATACTAAAAGAGTTGACTTACCTCTACTATAGGATAAACTATCTCATTATAAATTTGTTCAGTAGTGGCATTAGTAAAATAAGCACCATCAAATGTAAAATTTTTAGGAGGAGCTGCTTTTTCATTAGGATTTGTAATTGAGCATTGGCCTAACGGCGTATCTATATTAATGATAACCTGCAGAAGAATTGTGTTTAAAAAATAATTAGAGAAATTAAAAAATAATCTTCTATGATAGTAAGATGTTGCCAACAAAGACAAGGACTTCAAATATCCATAAAAATAATAATTAAATAGAGAGACAAATATGGTAGTGGAACTAGAGATATCAAGGGGTCCAAATTAAACATGCAAACTTACAATCACCCCTGTACCACTATGGATGTAGCTACTAGTTCTGTAAATGAAGAGTATACTTAGATATAGGGGCATTTGTCATTTTTGAATGTGACAAATGCCTCCTTATTCATGTACTTATCAATATTTTTCTTTGCTTATTTACAATGGTAAGAGGGATACAAGAGGGGACCAGAGAGCATAACCAGGAGCCAGGAAGCATAACCTGAGCAGAGAGAAGGTAATCAAGACCTAGGGAGAAGATTAGGAAGCATAACCAGGGAATTTCTCCTTCCAGTTACACTCCTCATCAGTTTTTTACTTAAATTATCAAGCATAATTTTCATATAAGAATTCAAAATCTCTCGCAAATAATAGAAAGCTGAAAAAAATAAAATGCTATTTTTTCTTTCCAAGAGCTTTCCAACACAATAAAAGAAAAAACAGAAATAGACTTGTCAATACACAAAACAGCAATTCAACAACAACAAAAATAATAACTTATGTTGACAGAAATGAATGAGCTCTATGGTAACTGTTTCGGAGAAAAAGAAAACAATCTAAATAATGAATTAATAAAAATGTATCATAATTCCGTATTAGTCACAAAGTAAATAAAATAACATTAAAACGTTCGATTAAAAGAAGTAGTCGTCGACATTCGTCTCTTTAATGCTCCTGACACACTTTCCATTTTTGCATCATTATAACACTTTATTACAAAAAAAAAAAAAACACATTGGCCTTCAAGCACTGCATATTTTTTCCAAAACAAAATTATGAACTTTGAGATATTAAATAAACTACAATACAAATGATAAAAAATGGTATTTATAGCAGATATAAAAATGTTTAAATTCCATTGGATACATCAACAAAATATTTCAGATGGGAGCCATCTTTCATATTAGATAGGAGCTTTACAATTACAAACTACTTCTTATGTGGTTAATTTTATTCTATGGCTGATGATAATGGTAAATTTTTAAAGGAAATATGATGTGGAGTAGGAAAATGCCAGCAAATCAATAATGATATGGCATACAAAACATGTACTTAGCCATAAGAGTGAATGTTACTTTGTTACTATTGCTAACGAATTAATTTTTCACATACTCGTTAAAGATTTTACTAAAGTTCTTTATTAACAAAATTATTTTTTTAGTTTTGTTGACCTTTAATATAATAGACTAACAGAGAGAAAGATGATTTGATAATGCTGATTGTTTGTTGTAAGTGAAATGATATCAACTGTAACAAACTTTATATTTTTCATAATATATACTGTTGGTGCCTCTTATTATGAAAGTTATGAGAAAATAAATGCCACACTTTCAATTATAGATACAAACAATAACTATTGATGTACAGCCTGGCAGAGACTATACAAAAAGTGACCAAACCTTGTCACAATACGAGTCATCCACTGCCTATTGGATATACACAATAGCCACATTGATGTGGCATAGGCATTCCAACAGAAGATGCAGATCTTATATTGGAATGCCTATTGGAGTGTCACACAATTAATTTTAGCTAATATAAGACAGTTATCACTGTTACTTTCCTTTACTGGTACTTTATGACTCTCTTAGTAAACATTCATTTAACTCCTTTGACTTTATAAACATACCCTAAATTTTCAGTTGCCTGATTGAGGTTAAGTGACGAGTTACACTTACGGTCCTTGTATATACAGGTATACCTCGACTTATGTTGTTCCCGATTATACGTCGTTTGTCAAAAAAGTATATGGAAAAATAAAAATCAAGTTTAAGTCATTTTATTCGACTTTACGTCTGTCCGCCACAAATATTGAAGTCGTAATATCATTAGAAAAGCATTTAAAGCACATAAAATCATATTAAAATATATACATTTACAAGTATGTACTGTATTTACAGTACATGCATTTGTAAATTTAGATTACTTTTTTCTGTACTATTAGGTCAGTCCATAAGTTTGTGCGTATTTTATGACCTTGTTTTGCTGTTAAAAATGCCAGTCTAATGTGATACTTNTTGAATTGTGTTCGACAATGGAAACTTGTACAATTACAAAAACAAAAGATAATGTACAGCTTTTCATCACCATTCAAATACTACATTCAGAGTTTTCTTTTTCTAAAGAAAAGGCTGTCACACAAACATCTCAATGGGTAATTGGTTCAAACACCTTTATTTTCTAGGAATTATCACATCCACAGACTCCAAAAATACTAGCCAATCAACAACTTTATTCCACCCAGATGCGTTTAGGAAATTACGATATTTCTCTCCTCAGTGGGTTTTCTTTCATACAAGCTAAACAAGGCATAAACACTTTTTTGATACTCTCACACAATTTTTCAATTTTCCTACCATTTTGACTACTTTCTGTGATAATTCCTACAAAATAATGGTGTCTGAACCAATTACATATTGAGATTTAAAAAAAACATAACAGAAGCAAGAGATAAAGTACACAAACATGTGTGGATTTTTTCTAGACACCAATTAAGTTTAGAACAATGCTGGTGAAACATTAATAGGACATGAGAAAAACAAATGTACAATGCCACAAACCTGCTTTGCAACACAACAATACTCACATAAGGTGAGAGAAGGAAGATAATGTTAAACAATTTAATTCCCCATGAAAACTGATGTACACAAAGGACTTAAAGTTTTCAAACAGAAAATCAGAGGGGGAATGCATTACAGAAATGCAGAAACTTTGGAAAATGCTTGAAAATGTACAATTATCAACTTATCTAGAAATTATTTTCAATTAATTGCATTTTTTAAGTTTTGTAGTTTTAATTTTATAAGAACTTTAAAATTTGAAATTAACATTCTCAACAGCAACCTTGTGCTAATTCTGAAGGAAATACAACTAATTGAGAAAACAGTAGGCAATCAAGTTCTAATATACAAGGTTCTTACTCAAATTTTTGTTTTTATTTCCATGACTTTCTCTGACCAACTTCGTACAAATTCCCTTATCCACATGTCCCTTACAGTACGGCACATTGACAAAATAAAACAGCATTTGAGTTACTATACATATATGTTTTGCTTCTCCAACATTTTAATTAATTAATTGTTTTTTCTAATTAACAGTTATATATTTTTTATAATTGCTGAATTATTAAAATTAAAAATAAAATGTATTATTAAAATTCTGTTATTAATCCATAACCATAAATCTACATGGCTTTGAAAAAAAAAAATAATTATTATTCATGAACAAATTCTATATAATCCATGTACAAAAGTATATATTTATTCAATGAGTTTAAAAATAAACAGAATAAGCATTGAAAATCATGTCATAGTTCATATTGTGCTATATAACTTCTATAACCATTGAGTACAACTTCAATTTAATTCCTCTGTAATTTCCACATTCCTGTTCATCTACTTTCCCTTTAAAAATTAGCACCAGAATACTTTTCCTCCATTCATCCAGTATTCTTTCCTGCTGCCATAGCTTTTTCATAAAATCCCATACAATACCAGCTTCTCTTTGCCTAAACATCTCTATACTTCTACTGGGATTTGATCAGCTCCTACTGCTTTCTCAATCTTCATTTTTCTGTGTCCTTCCTTCTTGCTTATATCTCATACCACTCCATTTGACTCTCCATCCATTCAGTAGTTCCCTAAGTTCTTTCATCTTTCCTTTATCTTTCGATCTTGTAACATTTCTCCTTTCCCATCTTTTATTGANCCATATTTGCCAGATATTGCTCCCAGTGATTATCATCTTTTTCGGAGTTTGCAGAATTTTTTAAAAGGAAAAACTTTTGAGGATGAGAACAATGTAAAAAAGGCTATTTCTGAATATTTTGATTCAAAACCGAAATCATTTTACAAAGACGGGATTAAAAAGCTACCATCAAGATGGGAAGAAATTGTACAAAATAATGGTGAATACATTATAGATTGAAATAAGATTTAATTAAAATTTTTTGTTGCTTTTTTTGTAGATAAAAATGTGCACGAACTTATGGACTGACCTGATATATTAAAAACTAAAATTTACTTGTTTGTAAGCTTAAAATAGATCCTTATTAACCATATATTATTAAAAATGCATTAATAAATAAAATACAGAACTAAGAATGGTAATTTATGGTTTAGCCTAGTGACAAGTAGATTTGGAGACAAGTAAATTTGACTTAAGTCGCCTCTCCTGGAACCAATTACCGACGTAAGGTGAGGTATACCTATATTACACTTCATAACTGTCAGAAAACTTACAAAAATATTCCACAAACAACTCGCGAGCCAAGATTGGCCGTAGTGACTCTACATGCTAACATTCAATCTGATATTCTCAATGTATTTCCATTCTGACAAATGTAATCAAACATCTTTACTATACCCGATACGATTAAAGCTATCCAACTACCAAAGCCAAATATTATCGGGCTAGAAACGGCTATAATACTAATAATTTAATAGACAATTTGACAAGTTAGGCACCATCTCTGACAAATGTTTGGAACAAACAAATTTGATTGTTCTGGAATCTGTTTTGTCAAGCTCCATAAAACTGAAAGTAAACAGTACATCGGTAAGTAAACATCACTCATTTTTTACGTTATTAGCTGCTTTAATGCATCAATTATACTTTTATATTTGAACAGCACATACAAACTGTGCTTAAATTAATTTGCACAATCTAATAATGAATAGTCTAATATTCTGAATGCTAATTTGACTCATTAATTGCAGAAGTATTCTTTAACATCAGTATCAATTAGCTACAAATCTCTAAAAAATGATGTATGTATTGTTTCCCCAAAGAGAAATCTAACAATATTTTATCTGAATTAATCATTCATTATATATTATTCAGTTAATCCTAAAAAAATTACCTTATTTCTACTGATATATGAGGTAGGAAGAGATTAATTAAACATCATTATTTGAAGTCTAAAACTTTGGCACGCATAAACATCTTTATAGCTAAGTATGCTTACAATATGGCAGCAATATGGGCTCAAAAAGGTTTACCATCCCTGTCATAGATGTTCAAATTGATTCCCTTCAGCCGTTATAAGACCTGTATTCTGGTGCAACATGATGATTTGACATGTCTAAGTATCTTGGAAATAATATGACATTCTCTGGTTATCACATCCTTCAATTCAGCAAGCATATGTGGCCAATTCTGGTACACCACAGATTTCAAATGGCCCCGCAGGAAAAAATGAAGAGGGGTAAGATCTAGGGAGTGGGGTGGCTGTTCCACAGGACCTCTTCTGCCAATCCATCTATTGAGAAACTTCTGGTCAAGGTACTTGTGGTCAAGGTCTCACAGCAAAATGTGTCAGATTATGATATTTTGGTCAAACTAACAAGTATGCTATGATTATTTTGTAATCAATAAATTATATATGAAATCAAAATTTATAGATACAACGCAATCATAAAATCTCTTTGCAATTACCGGGGAAATTAGAGTAGCTTCTGAAAAATAAAAGTAGTGATGCCACAGGCAGATCATGCATTGAAAGAGTTAAAGTTAAGATATCTCCACTTGATGGAGCTATGTGGATGAGGCATGACTTTACAATTGCACTATATAATCCAAATAGTGTCATTATAGTGTCAATGCATAAGCAAAATTGTTTTCTATTAATATATAAGTTTGTTAAAAAAAATTAGCCAGCAAACTAATCTTTTCTATCTTTTCAAATAAACTCACAACTCTATTTATTAAAGCAAATGCAAAATATTTCTGACATAGCTAAAGTCCAACATATTAAATAAATATATTGGTGAATAAAGTATCTCATATTTTGTACCAAATAACTGACACTTTAACTCATTTATTTTGCTGAATTTCAAATATAAACAATTCAGAGAATACCATCATCTGAAAATAACTGACACGTCAAATTTATCTGTTATGCTCTACTTACCGAATAAGCTCAAAGACAAAGAGTAATGATAGAAGCTACTGGAAAAATTCTCATTAAATTTCCAGTATGTATATTCAAGACTTTTATTATATAGAAAATCAAAATATGTTTATTTATTATAACATTTTAGAAATATAATTATGCTGTAAACATTACAGACATCAGGTAACCAACTTCAAGAGTGTGATCTCCACTAAATGATCCTGTGTTATTCCATACAGAATTTATATATTTTGCCATAACAGATAAGAAAGCATGTAATAATGTTATACTAAATACTAAGATTTCTATAAAAAATTTAAAAGAAATGTAATTTTAAGAACCAAACTTTGACCTGCAACAAGAAATTCTGCAGCCAGCTGGATGGCCAAAGCGATTAATTAATTAATTAATACATTAATAATCCCATCAAGTTCTACATGTTAACCATACTTAAACAAATTTTAATTAAAATATAGTTATTATTCGGGGGATGGGGTGGCTAAAGACATCGGCAGAAACAAATTTAACATTTTACAATTTTGCAAAAAAGTTCATCGAGTAATCTTGCTGCAAAGAGAAAGAGAATTCTTTAGAGATTTCTTGTAATGTAACATTATTAAATCAGAATTGCAGTTTTCAGCAAGCGGTATTAAGAAATGACATGTATATAGTAAAGGAAAGATCATTAATTTTGTATGAAGTCAGAGTATGCTGAAAAATTGGAAGGAAAAATCAATACGCTGCTATATTTAATAATTTATTCATTATTTAATACACTTAATGCTACTTAAAAATTTATCCATTTAGGGCAACTGATTAAAACCTTCAAACGTTTTTCTTTTTATTAAATTCAGTGTTATAAATCTTTTCTTTAAATTAATTAAGCTTCAGCTTTGCGTTACATATAAATCGAACAATCGGGATTATAAACCCCAACCGTTAAATATATTAATATTCCTAAAAGTATGATGATAGGATGCATTAAAATTATAAATATTGCGTGATAATCATTGTGTTTATACATTATGAATATTATATAAAGCAAATAACTATCATCTGAAAAAGCGTTGAACGTCTTACCTTACAAGAGAGCTCTTTCTCTCTCTTGTTTATTGGACGGCATCGAACGATAACTTTAACTGATTCTGATGCCATTTTTTTTGTTAAGTATCCCCGAAATTTTACCTGAAAAAGAAATTTATAATGATAAATAAATTGTATAAATATAAACTAATATATAATAGAACTAAATAAAAACTAATATATAATAGAACATTATACATTATAGATTACATTTGTTGACCATATAATCCTTGGCACAAATTTCTACTCAGAAGACACTATAATTTATCATTATCTCTAAGTAGGTCAATGCCCTGCACATGTAGAATGGAAATAAAAAGGCCAAACAGATAATGATATTTGCACGAGAATGAGTTAGCGTTCGTCAAATTCATTGATAAAAGTACAGTAGGTAATTTTATGGTATGGTTTTTTTCAAATTAGAGAGAATTTTCAGCAAGAGAGCCCAAAACCAAGTATATTCAAAGCTGCAAAGATGATGATACAGTAGAGCCTCGAAAACTCGGCACTCAATAACACGGCACTCCGGATAACTTGGCCACACCCTAGCAGGGCAAAAAAAATCCTTAGTTAATTAATTTTCATGATAAAGACAGCTTTATGCCTCAAAGTATTTTTCTGAGGTCTGTCTTATCAGGTAAATTACTGTACACAGTGTATTCATTAATTTTCATTTTCATGTAGTAAAGGCTCTATGCCTTCATAAAAGATGTACTTTTCCTTTGTTTAAGGGTATTTGGGCAGTTTATTCTCTGTTGTATTCTCAAGTAAACAATACATACAAGTACAGTACAGTATTTTCTGAGGAAACACTCATACTTATTTTTTTAACCCCATTCCCGATAACCCGGCATTTTCACAAACTCGGCCATCCTTCGGTCCACATTAGGCCAAGTTTTCGAGGGTTTACTGTAATATGATTCTTAAGTTCAAACTTAGAGAGTCCAATCACTTTTGAAATGTCCACTGAATGATATAACTTTAGTAACTTTACTATACAATTACATAACATAACATGAGCATTATTCCTATAGAAGGAACATGTTCATGATCATCTCAAATTGTACAAACATCTTTCCCCAATTGCACAGGACACTTCCTATAGATCGGTGGTTCTTAACTTTTCTGCTGTCTGTATTCGAATTTTACACCCCAAAAAAGATCCATTAAGGTTTTTTTTTAAAAGGGATAAGATCATCTCATTTTCTCATACGTGTTTCGGCCTAGTTTTAGATACAGCTCAAGTAATTAAGAAAATTCATCAATAATAAAAAAAAATATTTGGATCTGGGTTAGGGATTTACTACAGAAATAAATTATGTAATTACATATTTAAATTTGACTTTGGTATATTTTTTAAGTTGTACATTTTAAAATGATTCAGTTCTTGTTAAAAAAGATGAGGAAATAAAATTTTAAAAGTTTAATCATTTGAAATGGCATCTTACACCTCATACTACTGCAGAGTAAGTGTCTTGCACATGAAAATGCGACAGATCGGTGGTTTCTAACCTTTTTGAACACACAACACAATCAGTAAATCATGCAAAGGTTGTGTCATAATTTATTATTAAATGTTATGAGACTGGACAATGAGTCAATCACAAATCTCTCTCTAATTCCTTCTCTGTGGTATTAGAGACAGATTTGTAGTGTGGCTGCTTGAAATTTCGAAAATGTTAGTTACATTTTGTTCCTTTATAATTCATCTTGCGGCACATTTAATATGACTTCTCACACATTGGTTAGGAACTACTGATGATAGCCTAAATAAAATGATAAACTGGGTAAAAATCTAGTAGATTGTTACCAGTCTCCAAATGTCCTTTGATATATAAAATCAAAAAATTAATCTGCTAAATCTTTTTAAATTTCTGGCAATGTAGAAAAATTTGGTATTATAATCTGAAAGCTGTCATTTCATTTGATGTTAGAAATTTAATTTAAATTTTTAATAACGAATAAAATGACAGCTTTCAAAAGTTAACTTTGTTTATACTTAATTACTATATAGCCGTACTATATATATATATATTTTTTTTTAAATAATTAATTTTGATTTTTACTTTATCAGGATCAATAAACACAGCAAAAATCATTTTTTTTTATAAATTATAT